TGGACAGAGCCAATGAACTGAACACATTCTTCAATAGGTTCAGTTCAGGAACAAGCTCAGCATCCTCCTCTCTTGCCCACAGCCAAACATACATACCACCCTCCATTGACCCAAGGCTGTCCTGTCACACCTCAAATATTATATCTACCACCTCAGTCATGGACCCTTCTTCTACATATTGGTCTTCAACTAAATCAGAAGATGCTGATACCTCCTTTGCCTCCCCCCTCTGTGTCTCCAGAAGTCAGATGAGGAAGCAGCTGGAGAGACTGAACCGGAATAAGGCTGCAGGTCCAGATGGTGTCAGTCCCAGAGTCCTGAAGGTCTGTGCAGATCAGCTCTGTGGGGTTCTGCAGCATCTCTTCAACTTTAGCCTGACCCAGGAGAAGGTTCCAGTGTTGTGGAAAACATCCTGTCTTGTTCCAGTGCCAATGAAAACTCACCCATCAGTCCCCAGTGACTATAGACCTGTTGCCCTGACATCCCACATCATGAAGGTCCTAGAGAGACTTCTGCTGACCCACCTGACTAGACAAACAAGCACATATCAGGATCCACTGCAGTTTGCTTATCAGCGTGGACTTGAAGTTGAAGATGCCATCATACACCTGCTTCAGCAAACTCACTGTCATCTAGAAAAGGCAGACAGCACTGTGAGAGTCGTTCTTTGATTTCTCCAGTGCATTTAACACAATCCAGCCTGATTTGCTTTGTCAGAAACTCCAGAAGACTCAGGTGGAGGCCTCAACAATCACCTGGATCAAAGACTACCTGACGGACAGACCACAGTTTGTGAGACTGAAGGGCTGTGTGTCCAACCAGGTGGTCAATAGCTCAGGAGCACCACAGGGGACTGTACTCTCACCATTTCTTTTGACTCTGTACACCCCAGATTTCCAGTACAAAACAGACTCCTGCCATCTGCAGAAATATTCTGATGACTCTGCAGTAGTCGGGTGTATCAGAGATGGACAAGAAGCTGAGTACAGGGAACTGGTGGACCGCTTTGTGGCATGGTGTGGAAACAATCATCTCATCTTGAATGTGAACAAAACAAAGGAGAAGATTGTAGATTTCAGGAGAACCAGGAACAGATCCAACCCTATTTTCATCATGGGAGAAGAAGTGGAGGTGGTGGAGAAGTATAAATACCTTGGAGTCCACCTGGACAACAGACTGGACTGGAAATGCAGTGAAGCCATCTACAAGAAGGGACAGAGCAGACTGTACTTTTTGAGGAAGCTGAAGTCCTTCAACATTTGCAGCAAGATGCTGCATATCTTCTATAAGTCTGGTGTAGAGCGTGCCATCTCTTCTGCCATCATCTGCTGGGGTAGCAGCACCAGAGCAAGTGACTTAAAAAAGATCAACAAACTCATAAAGAAGGCTGGCTCAGTTCTGGGGACTCCTCTAGAACCTTTGGAGATGATTGTTCAAAGAAGGATTCTTCATAAAATGAAGAACATTATAGACAACCCTCAGCATCCTTTTCATCAGACTGTCATACAACAACAAAGTGTCTTCAGTCAGAGGCTTCTTCAAATCTGTTGTAGGACAGACCGCTACATGAGATCCTTCCTGCCCACAGCCATCAGCATCTATAACAACTCTTTAATGAAACCAGGATGATGAGTTACAACAACATTTAATTTCCCTCTGGGATTAATAAAGTATTTTTGAATTGAATTGAATTGAATTCTATTTTCTGAAACAAAGAATTCTGTTTTTTCATTATTTGTAATCAAAATTACAAGAAATAAAAGTTTGAAATATTTCACTCTGCATTTAATGAATCTATATAATATGAGTCTCAAGGGGTGAGTGGTGGCGCAGAGATTAGAGAAGGTGGGCCCATGATCGGAAGGTCACTGGTTCGATTCCCCAAACTGACAATATCAAAATGTGAGTGGGAAAGGTGAAACACCTACACCTTCCTCCGCCCTCATTTGCCCCACTCTGGCTCCTTGAGCAAGGCCCTTAACTCCCACCATCTGCTCCCCTGGGTACCCTAGATAGCAGCTCTCTGCTCCACACAGAGGTCTGTGGTAGCTCTGTAGTCTGTG